TTGGTCAAGCGGACCACGAAACTAGTGAATTTAATAGCACATATTGTGATCTTTTTATTTTATGTTTAATAAAACTATTAATTTGTCGATATTTAAAATATGGTTCATATTTTTGATTTTTGTTTTATTCTCTCGTTCTCAAAAAAAAAGGCAATTAAATTACAGGTTAATTATCATGTGAAAGAAATGACGATCTGTTCAACTTTACCATTTAATATCTTTCAATTAACTAAGGTTTTTAGTTGAGATAAAAAAAATCAGTGTCACAAGCGGGAACATTTGAAAAATGGCAAAAAGGAGGGAAAATTCAAAAAGGTGGGGTTGAGATGGGAAGTTAGTGTCCGATTGGATCGAGGCCACGATAGCTCAAGTGGTAGAGCAGCGGCGTATCTAGCTGAAGATCGTGGGTTCGAATCCCGCTCGTGACACTGACTTTTTTTATCTCGCTAAAAACCTTAATTAATTGATTGATTGTTACATGTTAAATATCCATTAATACAGCAGTGTCGAACCATTGTTATGAACGTGTTTATATAGGATTATTTATTAAAACAAAGAGTGCATAGAATCCTGTTAATATGTGATTTTATATAATTTTTAAGCTATGTGTGCGCTTATTTTAATCCAGCCCACAAGAGATCAGATTTACAATTACATAATACACACACATAAATGTACTGTTACACATTTAGCATCATATATTTCAACGTCAATATAAATTACGTTTGAAGAAGTGAGAAGGCGCGAGTATGTGTGATGTTAAAAGGACGAAACAGAGCAACAGGAAATATAATTAAATATCCTTCCCGGAGGACCAAAAGAAATCGTCTTAAATGGACATTTTAACTAAATAAACCTTTCACCTATGTAAATTTATGTGCATAACTTTTCTGTGATTATTAATAATATAATTAGTTTTACTTTGTAGCGCGTATAAATTCGAGGGCCAACATATATGACATATTCTATATCCTACGCTGTTTATGCAACGAATAACTCTCGCTTATATAACCAAACACAGTACAGAATAATGAATATAAATGGTTTTATAGTTTTAATATTTATTTTTAAAATATGTAAGCGTTACAAGGTTTAGTATCACGAGTTCGTTTTCGTTTATATATTCAAAGCACAAAAATCAAAAAAAAAAATTTACTCTGATCGAGTTTGATTTGAAATCTGTTCCTTGTCGTTTCTTGATCCGAATCAATTTAGTACGAATAACACACGATATTATTTTGACGATGGGTTATGAAGTGCTGTCATCTCATCAATTAATTTAATTTCGCAATCCTATCAATGTGCTGACGGCATAATAGGCTCGACAATTTTTTCCACTTTTCAATGAGGCGGAAAATATATTCCCAGAGGTCGCTCGTTAACCAACCGGGTCAAAATAAAAGCGAACAGAAACAAGAAAGCCAATTATTCTCGGGCCAGAGATGAACGCTCTCGTCTCACGTTATGTTGCGCAATGTAAGCACTCGAGCCGTGGAATCCGATGCGAACACCTATTCGGTCAGAGTCATAATCATCGTGATAATCTTAATAATTCATGGTTGAAGAGTGATAGAACGCATTTCCATTGACTAATCCTTTATCCACGGAAAATTGGATCGTATCGATTTTAAACAGTTCGTCGAATAGGAATAATATTAAACATGATGTACTGGTAACAAGCTATTGGACTGTATTCTTCAAGAGTACAAATTTTGAAAAATTCAAAATAAAAAGAATATAAAATAAAGATAACTCACCTTTCAGCCTACTCGTCGAAACTCCATGAATAGTCAAAGAGGGAAAAAGACAAGGGCGAAGTCGGTGAAGGGAAAACGGAATCGGGATACCCTTTAGCTCGTTTTCTCGGAGAGCCGTTGCCAACATGTGATCTGGCCACGACGATGGAGAAATAAAAAAGACAGAAGGGAAAAATATAATTTTTCGACACCAACGATTTACAAAACGGCCGATGTGAACTGTTCGACCGACAACAACGAACTATGTCGGGCGACGGGGACAGGGCGTAAACTTGCCCGACCCCGAGTTCAAATTACGAAAAAATGGCGTTATCGATAGTTGAAAAAATAAAAATTGCTAAAACAAGCAAAAATCCTGAAACAAGGACAGGACCTTATGCACAGAAGTAACCAAATGATAGTCACTAATGACCTCAAGAAAAAATACAAGTGATACTTGAATAAAAGTTGCTATTTTTGTGCTAATTCGTTTGTGTTTTACTACAAATAAACAATCCTATATTTTTACTTTCTGTGTGTTGTGATTAGTGATCGTTAGTCGATTATTGTTTGGAGATCGTGAGATGCGGTCTGGTATGACGTCGGTTTTAGAAAAACATTTTCTTTATCGTGCCAACGTTTCGATCTTTAACGAGATCATCTTCAGGGCCTAGGATTTACAAACATTGTTTACGTTTAACAAATACATGTAGGATGTGGAAAAATGTGAATTTATACAATGCAAAAAATTATCGTTTATCTTTCAAATTAATTAAGGATTTTAGTTGAGATAAAAAAGTCAGTGTCACGAGCGGGATTCGAACCCACGATCTACGGCTAGATATGCCGCTGCTCTACTACTTGAGCTACCGTGAGCTCGACCACTCGGACACCAACTTCCCATCTCAACCCCACATTTTGAATTTTCCCTCCTTTTTGCCATTTTTTCAAATGTCGTGCAATCTATTTGATTCTCGGCGACAAATGAAAATGGCCACGGAGAACTTTAGTGAAGAGATACTTCATTTGAACTGATTAAATTCACTAATTTTCGTGGTCCGCTTGACAAATTAATATCTTTCAATTAATTAAGGATTTTAGACGAGATAAAAAAAAGTCAGTGTCACGAGCGGGATTCGAACCCACGATCTTAGGCTTGATACGCCGCTGCTCTGCCACTTGAGCTACCGTGAGCTCGACCACTCGGACACTAACTTCCCATCTCAACCCCACCTTTTGAATTTTCCCTCCTATTTGTCATTTTTCAAAAGTGGTGTAATCTATTTGATTCTAGGCGAAAATGAAAATGGCCATGGAGAACTTTAGTGAAGATATACTTCATTTGAACTTATTAAATTCACTAATTTTCGTGGTCCACTTGATCAATTAATATCTTTCAATTAATTAAGGATTTTAGTTGAGATAAAAAAGTCAGTGTCACGAGCGGAATTCGAACCCTCGATCTTCGGCTAGATACGCCGCCGCTCTACCACTTGAGCTAACGTGACTTCGATCCACTCGGACACTAACTTCCCATCTCAACCCCACCTTTTGAATTTTCCCTCCTATTTGTCATTTTTCAAAAGTGGTGTAATCTATTTGAATCTAGGCGAAAATGAAAATGGCCATGTAGAACTTTAGTGAAGATATACTTCATTTGAACTTATTAAATTCACTAATTTTCGTGGTCCGCTTGATCAATTAATATCTTTCAATTAATTAAGGATTTTAGATGAGATTAAAAAAAGTCAGTGTCACGAGCGGGATTCGAACCCACGATCTTCGGCTTGATACGCCGCTGCTCTGCCACTTGAGCTATCGTGAGCTCGATCCACTCGGACACTAACTTACCATTTCAACCCCACCTTTTGAATTATCCTTCCTTTTTTTTCACTCAACTAAAACCCGTAATTAATTGAAACAAATTAGTTGGTGGCGGACCACGAAACTAGTGAATTTAATAACACATAATGTGATCTTTTTATTTTATGTTTAATAAAACTATTAATTTATCGTTATTTAAAATGTGGTTCATATTTAATTTTTGTTTTATTCACTCGTTGTCAATAAAAAGACAATTAAATTACAGGGTTGTTAATTGTCATGTGAAAAAAATGACGAACTGTTCAACAACCTTCGTCGTTTAATTCTTTTTTTAATATTTTTTTATTGAAATTATTATAGACAATATTAGAAAAAGGTTAAACTACTCATTTCTTTCCTATAACAATTCTGTAATTTAAAGCAAGAAATTCCAAGTAAATTTGGTGAGCGTGAGCGGTAAACAAAATTAATAAAATAAAAAGTTTTTCTCCTTTTCTTTAGATACTAAAGTTAGCTAAAATTTGAACCTGTAAAAAAACAAATCGTGTTCACAGTTGCCATTTTTTGCACAGATTGCAAGTGTTCTGATCATATATAGTAGTAAAACAAAAATTTTTAGTACAGAAGCCAAACGTGACTTTTTTAGTGGTGTTAGATTAAAATGCTTTTTAGCAAACATTGGATACACAAGTTTATTCTGCTGCACATTGTAAATTTGATATATGGATCGAATCAAATAGTAGATAGCTGTTTATCCCCTATCTATAATGATTGTTAGCTCTATTCATTATAAAGCAATTTTCAACAATTCATATGATTCTGTTACCGTAATCTGCATTAAGATAATGGCGATTTATGAAGCACTGAATGTACAACATCATGTACGTTGATAATTTGCATGAGGTTCATACAATCCCTCTCGAATAAGTAAATCTTACATAACGAGGGGGTGGCTGGCCGGTCCGAGACCTGATTTAGATTTATAACACGGTTTTAATTACGTCCTTGGTGTATAAATAAGGGACACGAATGAATGTGAAAAATTACGCAGTTTTAGTCCGGTTTAAAATTAAGCGACTGCCGGCTGACATTTCAGGATTAGGGCCACACTCGAGAGCAGAAGAGGGCTTATCCCTATTTATTGTATGTATAAACAGGTCGTTCGATCATCCGATTAGGGGATGAGGGTTTCGTTATATAAATCGCAAAATCGGAAACTGATAAACAGCCTGTGATTAGGAACGACGCCAAGGATCTTTTCGCCTGGAGACAGAAACAAATTCGCAGATCTTCGAATATCCTCCGGCGATGAATTATTTGGTTGAGGTCCAAAGGCAGATGGCCAAGGTGGACCGCTTTGACGCACGTTTAGTCCAAATCAGAGGGCCCGCCCTGTTTCGCCGTGTGGGTTAAAAAACAAAAACGAGAGGAAAATCTTACTCGGTGTTCCTTCGTCCTGGCCGTTGTCGTCTCCGGCGTCCGCCGACATCAAGTTAACAGACATCTTCGGAATTTCTGGAAAAAAAAATTTAATTAAAAAAACTTGATATATAAGACTTTAAACATATTTTATTCGAAAGCTTTTTCAGAGGGCGGGTTTTGTTAGCCGTTATCTTCAATTCACTCTAAAAAATTACACTTTTCAATTAGGTTTATTAATTCATAAAATAACATCAAATAGGACCAGGTTTTTTCATTTTATACCACAATGTCCAATGTGAATGAAAGGTGTCCTTAATGGAATTGAACCATCAGAATTATTTGAACTGACAAAACAGTCCTGACTGCCTGCCAGGTTCAGAATGAGAGCGTAACAATATAAGAAAAAAATATTAATAAATCAGTTCAATTTATATAATCATTCTTCCATTAATAATTTGGTTTAATATTTATGAGAAAAAATGCCCGTTTCAGGAGAAGTTTTAAATCAAGATTTACATGGCCAACAAATTTCAATCAGTCATGCCAATATGAACCGATATACTCAATGAGTTGTCTTATAATTTAATTAAATCATATCAATCCCATCAATCACCATCAATCCAATTGTTCACAATTTCACTGAACCTGGATGGAATGTAAGACCTAAATAAGAAGGGATTGGTTAGAAGGAGGAAAGCCAGGACATAAAGAAGGTAGACGCTTGTCATATGTTTTGGTTGTCCAAATCACTAAAAACCTGACAATCTCTTGGGTACCAAGACACCAAGGAATTCTGGGTGTAGAAAATAGAAAACCAGACAAACTAGAATCTGCCAGACCAAATCTAGGCCATGAACTTATAACAGGGATAGCAAGATCAAACATAGACTCATCCATGTAAGAATGAGATCATAATAAACAAAACAGAAAGAGAACTAGACTTACTCCAGAGGTGCCAGACAAAGCAAACTCATGAATCAAGAACCGTCACCAAAATTGTGAACTACATTGTTCTTGAGGAAGAGTAAAATTCTAGGGAGTGTTGGGGGGTAACTTGCAGCTGAAAAAATCCCTACACAACCCATAGTACCTTCACATGCGAAGCAACCACCCAATCGAGATATAACCTAGAGAAGCAAAAAGGCCTGGATAAAAGAAATTCAGCAATGACAGTCTTCTTCATCAAAGAAGATTCAAGTCCATTGAATTGAACTAAGAAATTAGGAAAATTATACTCAGCCAAAAGGTATCAATAGTAACACCGTAATAAGAATAATAACTTCACTATTTTTCGTGGCCCGCTTGACCAATTAATATCATTCAATTAATTGACGTTTTTAGTTGAGATAAAAAAGTCAATGTCACGAGCGGGATTCGAACCCGCGATCTTCGGCTTGCTACGCCGTTGCTCTACCACTTGAGCAATCGTGACTTCGATCCACTCGAGCACACAAAATGTGGGGTTGAGATGGGAAGTTAGTGCCGAGTGGATCGAAGTCACGATTGCTCAAGTGGTAAAGCAGCGGCGTAGCAAGCCGAAGATCGTGGGTTCGAATCCCGCTCGTGGCACTGACTTTTTTTCAACTTAAATCCTTAATTAATTGAATGATATTATTGGTCAAGCGGACCACGAAAAATAGTGAACTTAATGAATTAAAATGAAGTATACTTCACTAAAGCTCTCCGTGGCCATTTCATTTGTCGCCGAGATTCAAATAGATAACACATTTGAAAATGGCAAAAAGGAGGGAAAATCCAAAAGGTGCCCGAGTGGCAATAACTTCCCATCTCAACCCCACCTTTTGATTTGAGTGGATGGAAGACACGATAGGTCAAGTGGTAGAGTAGCGGCGTATCAAGCCGAAGATCGTGGGTTCGAATCCCGCTCGTGACACTGACTTTTTTATCTCAACTTAAAACCTTAATTAATTGAATAATAATAACACCAAACACCACACTCTAGCAACTATCTCATTACCTAACCTGGATCTCAACATGTTCTGGTTGAAAAAAAAACAAATTTGCCATCCCTTTATCTACCAAACTTTCCACCTATTTTAAGGTCATCATCAGGAAAAAACCATCTTTAAATGTCTAAATTGACATAGCTTTCAAAATTTATTTCAAATTTCTTTGAAAATATACTGCTTATATCTCATCCCATCCCGACACAACTATCTTAACATATGCTGATGACCGTGTCATTATATTCTCTAAATCTGACACACATCAGAATTCACCAAACTATCCCATTAAAAAATGATTAAAAAATGGCGAATTAAACTGAACACGAAAAAGTCCCCAAATATAACCTTCTTACCATGTCTACTTCCAATATATTATAACCTCACCGCCTTCCTAAAGAATAGGTCATCCGCTACCTAGGACTATATTTAGACAAATCACTCACCTTGAATCCCTATACAACTCAAAAAAATAAGTGAACTCAACCGACGATATCGATTACTTAAAACACTACTAGACAACAAATATAAACTCTCCCTCCACAACAAAACACTCATAAACAACTCAGTACTGAAACCAACATGGAATTCTCCTCAGAAACTAGATCTTACAATCACGAAACCTTCGATCCATCGTCAGGTCTTCCTTTTATGTTTCTAACCACAAATCCAAAACGACTTAACTGTTCCTTTTTACATGTAGTTGTAGTCCAGCAACGAAAATCTCCACACTGGCCTCCAATCCCTCTCTAACATCCACGTTTCTTTCCTCCCAGCAATCCTCCTCGACGTCTAAAAAGTCAGTGGCCTGGTGACCTGCTCTCTGAGATGATTTCTAATCTATCACTGGATTCTTCCAAGTTTCCCTTCGCATATTTTCTTATGTTGTAGAGTTGCTCTTCAGATGTTGCTGTGCCGTTTTCACGGTTTGCTATTAAAGATACCAATTAGATGGTGTATTCTGAATGACCAAAATCAGATCTGCAGAACGGTACTTTACTGTCTTGTTTTTCATTTTGAAGGAAAACTTTCTTACACTTTTATCAAAGATCATAGTGCATTATTTTAATTGTGTTGATTCTGAAGGATCATCCGTTTTCGGAAGGCGGAAAGGTTGTAGAAGGTGACCTTTATTGAGGTGTTAATTTTCCTTATGGAAGTCGTGATTAAAACATGACTGACACGAGTGGTTCACGAATGGTTTTTGTGGTATCAACCTCAATAGCGAATTTGTAGATTCCAACTGTTAAACCACAGATGGTCGACTTGAACCTTGCCCTCTTGGGCAGGTCAGTAACGCCTCTTTCTAATTTTCCTGCCTATGATCCGGCAGTTCATTTTTTCCGCGATAACTCCAAAGACGTTTTTCATTTTTGGAATTACATGAAAAATTCCTTTAAAACAGTTCATCCCATTCAAAAATTGAATCTATTAAAGGTATTTTTAGAACCCATTAATGTATTTTTATACCTTAAACCCTGGGCCGGGTTGTTTTTGATATTTTCAGTTATTGTTCCCAAGGTAGTTACGTAAAATTCACGCTCGGAACAAGCAGCGTAAAAGAAACGTGTTGTACTTAATTATGGTATTAATGGGCCGGTTCGTTAGTACTACTGTTCCACTGGTCAGTTTTTTCCTAACAAGCCTCTGGCTTAATGCTTCGACATGGAAATTAATCGACCGTGAAATATGTAATTCACCCGAGGATGTCCTCGTTTCCTCTGCCCCAAAAGAAAAAAAAACTTCTCGAATATCTAATGAGCTGAACCACCGTGATGCTGCGTAACTAGATAAATCAATTGCTCAATCTTTCCTCAAACGATATCGATGTGGTCGATGATATTCGTGGTGACGCGAAGTACAGTACATTAACCTGGAGGATTTTGGAGTCACTTTCTCCCGAGTTACCTCATTTACGAAATAATCTCCCTTTCAAAGTGTATAACCATATAGGGAGTTTTGGATGTGCGGTACGGATAAAAAATCTGCTTTGTCGTCGTGTGTATGCAAGTCTTAGAAAAAAAGAAAGAACTAGAAAAATATATTGCAATATTCTTCTCTTGCGGCCTTCAGCAAGATTTACATAAAGTGTGATCGTTTCAGGTGATTCTGATCTGCCTATTTTTACATGTTCCTTTGGGTTTCTTCACTGACGGCTTTGTGTTTTATTTATTGCCTCTTTTGTACGTTCCAACAATGATATTGTATACAGAGAGCTCCAAAAACACATCATAGTACCGAATCAGGCTTTTTTGTACAAACCAAAAACATGAGCAATCAAGATCATTAAGGAAGTACACCTCTTCTTTCAAACTGAAATACATGCCATGTGAAAATCTTAAACGAGATTAGACTGGCAAAAAAATCCTCTTTCCAAACATCCTATAACGTATCAACAGACTACAAAGGAGAAGAAGAATTCAGGAGGAAATCAGATACGATATGGTGCAAAGATCGCTCCAAAACAAATTAATGAACCGCATCAGGCATTTTTCGTACAATCTCAAAATATCATCAAACTTATTAGGGAAGTACACTTCGGACTTTCACGCTGAATTGCCATCAATCTTGAGTCTTTTTTTTCCAATGGATACCAGGAACTGAATACAGTTCCCTCCTTAGCACTGCAGTAGGACAGCTTATTGTACTTTACCCCTGGCTCCATTTTTTGGTGGCTCGCAACACAAGTGTGAATTTGAGAACCCGGTGTGCCGGTGTTCTTCCATCGAAGAAACTCCTTTTTGAAGGGGGTTGGGACCAAAATTCAGGGTCGCTGAGATCTGATCCCACTCTTTCCATTGATGAGTGCAGTGTCAATTTCTTTCAATTCCGGCCACCGGTCCACTTAGGAGTCAGAAAGAGTCCAGAGGCTATGGTAGGATCGAACCCACGACCGTGGGATCCACTAGCCGAGAGTCTGACACCTTAACCACTCGGCTACCGCCCCCCCCCCGGCTTGAACTTTAGCCAATCTTAAAAGTGGTTAGTTACAGTGACAAAAACATTTATCATAATGTGATAACCAAACCTCTATTAAAGCATTATCATGTAAAACAATCACATCAAAATTAGTCAGTGATTGCATCCAAAATCTCCAAAACCTGGGAAAAACAACGACCTGAATATATCCTGGATACCCAGAATACAAAGGAATTTTGGTTAATCCAAAAGTAGACACACTGCCCAGATACCTGCAAGACATACATTGGCCCTGAACGTATTTTTGGAATAACAAAACCAAGCACAGAATATTCCTTCACAGAATAGATCTAAAACTGAAAAATGTGGATAAACGCTAGTGGTGCTAGACAAAGTAAACTTATGATGAAACAACCCTCACCAAGACTGGAAAAATCAGTGTACAGTTAGACAAGGCCAGATTAAGAGGAGTGATAGGACTATTTACGCGTCATTGGCATCTAAGAAAACATCAACATAACATGGGTGATGATGGGCACTTTTGTAGGTTATGCAATGAGGAGGAAGATGTACTACCCGTTTTTCAATGCGAAGAAACTGCTCAATGGGGACATAAACTGAATTACCAAGAAAAACCAGATTATAATTGCAGCAATGTCAGTTCGACCTTGCACTAATTAAAAGAATGATGGAGCTGCAGTGCTTAAGCAACAATCCCCCGTAAATCGTACTTTTGCAACTTGAAAATTTGACTCAAGATCGGAAAAGGTCGATCTATAGGATAATATGGCCGAGTGATTAAAGCGTCTCCTATTTGCCACGCTAGAGGTTCTGGGTGCGAATCCCGCAACAGTTCATGTAATTTCATCTGGTAAGAATAGATAAAAGGTATTGTAAAGTGAATTAAACCCTCCTCAAAGATGCACAGGTTTCATCAAAAGATATCTCTGTTTAATTTTAAATAGATTCACTAGTTTTCGTTGTCCGCTTGACCAATTAATATCTCTCACTTAATTAAGGATTTTAGTTGAGATAAAAAAGTCAGTGGCACGAGCAGTATTCGAACCCACGACCTTCGGCTAGATACGCCATTACTCTACCACTTGAGCTAAATGGCTAAATGGCAAAAAGGAGGGAAAATTCAAAATGTGGGGTTGAGATGGGAAGTTAGTGCCCGAGTGGATCGAGGTCACGATAACTCAAGTGGTAGAGCAGCGGCGTATCTAGCAGGAGATCGTGGGTTCGAATCCCGATCGTGGCATTGACTTTTTTATCTCAACTTAAAACCTTAATTAATTTAAATAAAGAATAAATAAGAGCTAAATCATTGAAACAAATCCAATTGCCGAAAAAAACAATCCTTCCTTTGGTATTTCGCTAAGACGAGTTCACAAAACTATTAAAAACAATCATTGGATGTGAACAACTGGCGGGAACAATTGGGAAGCGATTAGGTGGTTTAAACAGGCCGATCCGATTGTCAAGTTATAAAGGGATCAAACGGACTTTACGAGACCCGGTGTCGATTATTTATTCAACGGCAAATGGACGTCCACTGAAAAAAAAAAAATTCGAGTTCAAATTCTTTGGGATTCGAAAGGGAGACAACAACCAACGTGGTACAAAATCATGTTGAAAAATAAATTGCCAAACTTAATTTTTGAATTTTTTTTACTCATCATTCAAATTGTACAATTGAAAAAAGTCAAAAATCCATACTCACTTATGCATGGAGCTATGTGAGACCGGCTTTGCTGATATCCTTTGTCACACCTGTTGCAGGTGATGCCGGTTACTCCGTCTTTGCATGGACACTGTCCGCTCGTCTGGTTGCAGGTCTTCCCCGAAGCACCGATCGGGTGGCAGTTGCAGGCTACAAACAAACAGAAAAAAAATTACTAACAAAAAAGCGTAAAATAAGTCCGAGGCTTGTTCCAAGCTTCTTTAGTATTCAAGACAGTTAGGCCGTAAATCTTAAAAATACACCCTTTAAAAATTTATTACACCGGGTCCTTCTCAGTAATAAAAATTCAAGAGAGTAATGCTGGTTTTCGTTTCGAAATCACTTTATTCACTTTTTGCTGAATGTTATACGGAAAGACGTTCGGTGTTGGTAGATTTGAGATAAGGAAGGCACCTTGCTTAGAAATCTCGCACTGCCATATTGTTTAGAGTTTTATTGACGGAAAGATTAAAAAACCGTGATAACGACGGAACGAAATAGTTCAAATCCCGCTTGCTGAATATAAAACACCTTTCTGCCGAGCCTAGATGCTCTTATGGTCTTGACAGTATTTCCTCTCTCATGTCAAATATATCGATAAATTCGTATAAAATTTTCATGTTTCAATTTGGAGGCAAAAATTAAGTAACGGAAGTGAGATAATAACCTGGGGAGTAATTCCAAATTACGACATTGGGTTCAAGCTTTTTTTTTCTAATATAACAAGAAAGTAGAAAAATGTCTTTTTCTTTCTCATTCTCGCCCTTTTTTCTTTCTGTCTGTTTGTCTCCCTCCCTCTCTCTCTCTCTCTCTCACACTCACTCTCTCTCTATCTATCTATCTCACTCTCTCTCTCTCTTTCTCTCTCACTCTCTCTCTCTCTCTCTCTATCTATCTATCTATGTAACTCTCTCTCTCTCTATCTATCTATCTATCTATCTATCTATCTATTTTCCTCTCTTTTTTTAATAACGAGTTTGCTACTATAAATATAGACCTTCATAATTCCATCCCCTATTTTCGAAGAGAGCACATGGAAGTCACCTTATTTCGATACAATATTATTTACTTTATCTTATAGAAGCAAATATGTCCCCGATATAGATGGAAAATAAAAATGGACCTAAGACAGAACCCTGAGAAACACCTAAGTAAACACATTCCCAAGAAAAATTTCATCATTCGTCCCAATCACAGATTGTTTTTTTCCTGTGATTCTAATCACTCCAAGACAGATCAGATAATTTAACTGCTTTACCGTACGAAGAAGCAAACAATAGCTCACAGAATCAGATGTTTGTGAAAAGTAAAATAAAACTAAGACCGTCATTATGCGTTTGTTAATAGTCCAACATATGAGAGAGAGAGAGAGAGAGAGAGAGAGAGAGAGAGAGAGAGAGAGAGAGANGTGGGAGAGAGAGGGAGGGAGAGAGAGAGAATAAGAGAGAATTAAGAAAAAGGTTTTATTTATAGTAGCAAAAGTCGTCATTAAAAAAGAGAGAAAGAGAGAGAGTGATGGAGAGGGAGAGAGAGAGAAAGAGAGAGCGAGAGAGAGAAAGAGAGACAGACTGGCAGACAGGGAGTGAGAGAGAGTGAGTGAGTGAGGGAGAGAGAGAGAGAGAGAGAATGGATTAATAAAGTCTTAGTTATAGTACTAGAATTTGATTTAACGAAAAGACAGAGAGGACGAAAAACAAAGAATGGGTTAGAAGGAAAGGAAAAGAGGGAAAGAAGGAGAGTGGAAGAGATATGAAGAAAAAATGGTAAAGAAACAGATAGGGAGGGAAAGAAAGAAAGGTAGAGTGGAAGAAAGAGAAATGAAAAGTAAGAAAGGAAGTAGTAGAGTCAGTCAAAATCGAAATACAAAAAAAAGGAGTTTCTTTTCTATATGCCTATATAACAATTAAAAAAATTGTATTTCAAAATTATTAATATTCCAAAAAATTAATATTTTTTACTTTAGGATCATATTCAATACTGACGATACATCTATAATTTGAAGGAGACTCGATGGTAAAATGTAACAATAAAACATCAAATTGTTCCTAAGTTTAAGTAACGATGACGGATTGTCACTAGTCAAGATATTACAGGAAAAGGTTATTTACGGGTTATATGGAGCTCCTTCGTCATTGTAATAACCCTTTGTTTCAAAAATTAAGCGTGATTTGGCAAAAAATTGATAGGTGTTGATATAAGAAATGGTGATATAATCATCACTGCCAGTACATTTGCCGATGACTTAAAATTCCTCAAAATTGTATACTCTCAAGTTGGTTTAAACGTTAATCTCAAACAAAGCGACATTGCGGGTTATTTAATGTAATATTGAGGTTTCTTAGTAAATGAACATGAGCTTACACCCTCGAAAGGTCAAGTCTCTCGTATCCTCTCCATCCCATCAATATCAAGGAATCCATCATCCACTATCATCCTACAATGTTAAAGTCTAGCTTCGCCGTGTTTATCCCAAACTTAAGAACGAAAAGTGGCATTTGGGGTAATTTAATAATTCCTAATCTTAAAAGCCCCTAGTCTTTTCACTTCCGTTTGTGGCACAAACAGAAGCCAGTTATAATTTAATAGTTGTGGCTGAGTAAAAACGTCAGGGTGGAAATCAAATTATTATGGTATTAACATGTTTTTGCCGTTACTGCACGGGCGTTTCAATTGTTTTCATCTCTCTCTCTCTCTCTCTCTCTCTCTCTCTCTCTCTCTCTCTCTCTCACTCTCTCTATCTCTTTCTCTTTCTCTTTCTCTTTCTCTTTCTCTTTCCATATCTCTTTCTTCCCCCCCTCTCTCTCTTTCTCTCTTTCACTCTTTCTCTCTCTCTCTCTCTCTCTTTCTATCTTTCTCTCTTTCTTTCACTCTTTTTCTCTCTTCTTTCTCACTCTCTCTCTCTCTCTCTCTCCCTCTCTCTTTAAATTTAAATTTAAATTGTTGCTTATTATCTTAATTTGTTACTCTTACAATACGTATTATTTTTATATTGGTTTTTATTTCGCTCAAGTTTTAATTAGTTGTCCTCCCGGTTCCTTACAGGAAAATCTGGGTCTGCCTATTAAATCCCATCTAATTACCAGCCTTTCGAAAACTAGTACAATCCTCCTACTTGACCTGATTGAGGGGTGGGTTTAATTAAAAACAAGTACAAAAACTACAAAAAGGAAGAATAAAAAATGAGAAGAAAGGAAAAAGCGCCCCAAGGTGTCTGGCGATTGTCCCGGCTCCGGGATTAACAAGATTATCATGTCAAAAGGCCGTGTAGCCTACTTGGTATACAATGTAATGTATATAAATAAAAATTGAACCACCTTTATGATCTAAGGAAAGGACGTCGGAAAGAATCGGACGAGGCCGTCCGATACAATATCAAAAGGTGTCTTTTCTCATTAATTATTTATTATTTACTACCTACGATATAATTACAACTACAGCGATTATCGACAAATGGATGTTAAAAAAACATGAACCCCCTTCGGTCGACAGAATAAACTAATAGTACCTTCTTCTTATGAAAATTAAAAAAGTCTTTCCTATGGTTGCTAGCAGGTTGGTGGTGCTAGTACTTGATAACCTAATCAAAGAGCAAACTATAAAAATTTATGGTTTTGCAAAAATCATAATGGGAAAAAAATTGTGTGCACACTCTGAGGCAAAACGTCCTAAACAGCATAGTGTGAGAAAATAGGTTTAAATATCAACCTAAAGATCACCTAATAACATACACATGAAAAAGCAGCCTAAATAACCTAAAGCACCTACTGTAAAAATGGAGCCAATAATTTCACCACAGAAACTAAGTTTCTAAATATAATCCTTGACCAAAGGCTCACGAGGAGCAAACAGACAAGATACTATAAAAGAGGGAAATCAATCAACAAAAATTGAGGATTTGTGTTTATTTAGAAATCGTGAGATACGGTCTGGTGTGATGTAGGTTTCAGAAAAACATTTTCTTTATCGTGCCAACGTTTCGATCTTTATTGAGATCATCTTCAGAGCCTGGGATTTACAAACATTGTTTACATTTAACAAATACATGTAGAATATGAAAAAAAATCGTTTGTAAATATCAGGCCCTGAAGATGATCTCAATAAAGATCGAAACGTTGGCACGATAAAGAAAATGTTTTTCCGAAACCTACATCACACCAGATCGCATCTCACGATTTCTAAATAAATATCGATTAACGGTCACTAATCACCACACATTGAGGATTTGTTTTACATCATGTTCACTTATGGGCCACTAGTATGGTGGCTCAAAACATTGCTTAAGGACGCAGCAAAAAATTGTAAATTCTACAGAGAGAAGAAAGTATTTAAAGACTCAAATTATACAGGGGTACAAAGGATTTAAAAAGTACTAACAGACTCCTGAGATACAAAGAAATAAAACCATATCTAAGCAGAAGCCATCATAAAAGAATTAAAATCAATAAGATGGTTATAATAGTACCTGACAATTTGTCAGGAAAACTGAAATTTGGCAGTCCCTTTCAAGTGATCATAGACCTATGGAAGAACGACAACCCCGATCTTCTGGATAGAAGAGGCAGTAGGTATAGGGGAAAGATGAATTATTCCCTCGCATACCCATAAAATAAGTTGGAACTGGAATAATAGCTTGTCAAAAAAATCAAGCACTGGAAAGCAGAAGATATGAGGTAGGCTAGTTCTAATTAGATTACATCAGAAAAGGAGTGGGCCTCATGACAACCTGGTCTATGGTGCAATTCTATATCCAAAGCTTTTTCAAGGACTCCAATGTATATCCTTCAGACCTGGGCTTTTCTTCTCCCAGGAGTAGGACTCAAACTTTGCATCGATAGTGAACATGTTCCGATGTCTTCTTTCTGGCAATATCTGCACAAGCTTGATTCTACCACTCTGAGTCTATAAAAATGCCTCAGGAGTTAGCAGTCCAATTACTACTTCAGTCTTAACATACCAATTTTAGCATTGCCGTTAGTTTCTGTGATGGCCCGTCATGACTTTTTCGCATGCCTCTATCCTGGGGTACATTCCCATTGAACCGAGGCCTTATTTTCAATTGCTTGATAGATTTGGTATGACGGAAAAGTGTTCAGGGCCAATAGGTATTTATTTTCATAGAATATTCCTTGGCCAATTTATCGGCTTCTTCG